AAAAAAAAAAAAAAAAAAAAAAAAAAAAAAAAAAAAAAAAAAAAAAAAATCGATATTACAATTAAACTTACTAATTCACTCAATATCACTGTGATAGTTAACAATGCAATAATTGCAGTATTTCTATGATAAAATTATGAAACATATAAAATTCTTAGAATTTCGTATGGATTAATAAATAAAATATTTATGTATATATATCGCAGGACGCCAAAAAAGCGATCGGTTACGAGTGAAACTCTATATGGGTATAATGGAAAGTATTAGCAGCGTCAGCAGTAGCAGTGGCAAAACAGCATATGATTGAAAATAAACGAATCGAAGCAACGTAAAAAAAAAGGGGGATGTGCGATCGGATCGGCGCTATATCTAATGGGTGACGACGAACACAAGAAGGAAAATTATATTCGTGGCTTGTACGTGAGGGTAACGTGAAAGGTTTGCACGTCCATCTCCGTACAATCCTGTGGACCGATAGACGCTGCTGTATCGGATTGCTGGTGGCGATGGTGATGATGATGCTGTCGAGACTTTGCGCTGCTATTGTTTTGCGAAGAGTGTAGCAGCTCGTCGCTGCTCTTGATGATTTTTTCAGCCGGTTGCTGATCTATCGTAACCCTCGCACCTTTTGCCTTCACCGTCTCGAGGGAGCGCGACTTGGATGTGTTCTCAGCGCCGGCACCGCGAGCTTTTCCGCCGTTCTCTTTGTTGCGCCGGGACGAGCTGCGATGCAGTCGCGACTTTTCCCGGGACGAGTTCCGCCGCAGGCTGGGACGCTTCACGGATTCGGCGCTCGCACTTAGCCCGGCTGCTGCGAAGGTATAACAAACATTTTTTCTTTTTTTTTCTTTTTTTTTTTTTTTACCTATACTCGAGCGGCTCTGTCATATTTCTCACTAACTCGCTCGCTCATCTGTTTTTTCGAACATTCGCTTTATATCGGAATACCATTCGTTTTGTTTATTAATTCTCATTCTTGTCATTAGGTTGAATAAAAATTAACAATTTCTCTCGCTCGCGATCTCTAGGCCCTGATAGTTTATTCCATGTTAAATAAAGGTGGTAAAAACTTCAACAAACACTCACATTCAAGCTGAACCATTCATTAAAATTTAAAAAATTGAAGAGTAAAAAATAAACTCCAACGATGTTTCAAAAAATAATAAATACCTATTTAACGTTTGTAAGAAAAATCGACGTACGAGAGCTTTTTTTAAAAAAAAGATCATAATGAAAAAACGTACCGATGTTTCCGGACGAAGATCGGTTTGAGCCGCGAAGAACATGCATCGCTGTCGGATCGCTATCTGTCGCAGCCAGTCTTTCGCCAACAGGGGTAAGAAACCAGTCCGACCTAGTTCGCATGCGTGCGGTTTGTCTCTCATGTACCTGACGAAAATCTTACATCAATTAAAGATATATGCTCAATTATCTTTACTTTTATCTTCGACTCCTCTGTAAGACTGATTGTTATTTTCAGTCATTACACGATATGATTCAGGTATTATATTCCACACATGCACTACTGATAATTAGTACGTACTTTACTGCAGAAACCAATATGTAAATTAGAAAATATAGTAATTTTGGTTATAGAAGGACAGTAACACTCACAATTTTCGTGTTGACAAGCAAAGAGCAAACATTATTTCGAGGAGAAATTATTCTTTTATTAATAACCTGCATAAAAAAAATGCATGAAAGTGCGAATATGATTCTGCAATATTTTAGCACGTAAATGACAAGGCTCAACCAGTTTGTTAAGTGTTTACTATAATGATACGACTATTGTTATGAAAATGCAGAAGAAATTAGTTTATTATTAAAGATAAAACAAATAATTTCAAAGTGACAAAAATCACAAATTTTTCGCTTTATTTTTGAATATTTAAAATTATATAAATAAATGCATACATTGTAAATTTTTGGAGTCTAGAGGATTCCTGTATTTTCAAGTAAAATTACATTGAATAGATTTATTGCTAATTTAAAATTTTACATAATAATTTTTCAAAGGTGGAATGCCTTTCATTTGTAAACAGGTGTTAAAAAGTATATTGGCTCAACAAAGCTCAATCATGTGGCACAGGCGCGCCAGGCAGGCGAAGTTTGAGATTGATATCAATTCCTTATAAAAATCAAGCAAAAATGTATGATACAGCCCTTTCATCCTTACATTAAATTTTACACTTTTATTACAAAAACATCAACCATGCATGAAGATTTTGCGTTCAGCAATATATTAGTGGAATTGGAAAATTCTTTGTTCAGAATGAATGACTTTTTCAGATTTTTTTTATAATCGACCCTCTGTGGATTATATTTTATGCTCTCTAACTATAAATTCTTTCAACGCATTTTGTCTGGTGATTTTTTAAACTTCCTTGAGTACTTTTACTTTAAACAAATTATTTTGTTACACTACTGTTTCGATTCAGTTAGACAATTTTTCCAGAAACTAAAACTCAAATATTCCATTGAGGGTTGATTTCATCTAAAATTATGTATGATTCTATATCAGCGCATGATATTGCAAAGCGTAATAAAAAACACGAATAGTTTGCAAAATTAAAAATAATGTTTAGTGCTTTGACGCCCTGTGATGTTTTTTGAAATACAAATCTGAATTTAATCAACACACTGATTTTAATCGCTAAATTACAAAAATTAAAAATTACATAGCGTTTCTGGTAAATAAAATAATAAAAAAAAAAAAATAAAAAAAACTATATCCATCACACATCAAAGAAACAAAATTAATCAACATTATCTGTTGACGAACAGGCTTACGCTTCACCCACGCCTACCTGGGGCAAATAGCTGAGACTCTTTGTGCTTTCCGCATAACGATTTACTGCTCGAAGTTCGTCGAGCGTCATTTCTGGGTGACGAGAGTTGTGACTGCCGTTGCTTGACGAACGGCTGGATGCCTAAATGTTGTAAAAACGAGAATTTAAATCCGCGAGTACTGCTGTAAATTCGAGAGCCGTGAATATTTTATCTTGCAACTATCAAATCTTTAAAAAAAGCCAAAAATCCGAATTTCGTACTAACTTTGATTATAAATTTCAAACTTACCTGAAAAAACCCATTTTCTTCTAAACTAACAGAAAGACGTGTGTAACTTTCCAGAAGTGTGTTTTCTGGTATCATCCCAAGTGACGAGTTCAGTTCTAGGGATTCTGGTACGTGGATTAATGCCGGCGTCGATTGCGACTCCTCTTGATGAGACATGGCTGTATCAGAAAAAAAAAAAAAAATCGTTTAATCAAATAGATGATAAAACTAATTAAGCGTGCAGATTTTTCGAATTACAGTGCAGGCTTACATTCTAGATTAAACTTCAGGCCCCATCTCTCACATTCATATTGTAACCAAGTCTTTTCTGCTTCTAGCGACAATTGTCCTGTAGTGATGTATGAAAAAAGTGTAAAACGAATAATTTAATTATTTATTTATTTTCACGACAATAGCAATCAAATCACTACTGGATGGCATTTGAAAGTGAACGAAATAAAGAAAAAGAAATAAAAATTAAGGATAACAGATAAATAAAACATTTTTGAGAAATGGATGGCCTATAAATTTCATCAACTACAACTGTTGTAATAGATACTAAGAAGCCTTCAAATGAAAGTTGATTAGTGGTGTTAAATGCTTACGTGACACTAATGAATCAGGAGGATAGCGGAAGCTAAAAATCCAGTCTTCTTCCACTTTTAGAATTCGTCCAGTGATTCGCGCATAAAATTCGTAGTTTTCTCTCCCAAACAAATTGGAGACTCCAAAGTTATCTATCATAAACTTCATAACTCTTGTGGCAACCTATTTCAATTAGAAAAATGTACATTAAGAGAAGCAAAATTCAATTTACTCTGTCAAGAAATAACTACTTATACTAACATATAACAACTTCATTAATAATTAAAACCATTATTCTAAAAAAAAATTATTATTAAAGTATTTTTTCACACACATTCTAGAGTACTCCTGATTTTGATTTTTAAAACTGTTAAGGTATATTTGTACTGCTTACATCAAAGGAATGGGTAACTCATCATGCACACTAAGGACTTATGTTGGGTGTTGAAAAATTCATAGCTTCTTTATTCATTGTACTGTATTAATTGATCACATGGGAGGTTTGATTCATGTGTCATGCTTATTTTATACAGTTCATTGACTACGTTATTGTTCTGAGAGGTAGGCACAAAAGGAATGCTAAGACAATAAAGTCATGATAACATTTGAAAGTTAAGGAGCAGGTTTGAAGACAAAGACAAATATCGGTATGGTAAACTTACTGATACCTCCGCCTGATGGTGATTGTAAGCAAAATATGAAAAAAAGAGGATTCAACAATCGTTCGAGCCAAAAGGCATGCATAGAATTTTGTTTATAAATTTTGTACATAATGTCAATTGTTCGATTCAAGAGATTAAAGCTTTATGGTAGTAATTGATGTTGAAACTCAACCTGAGCTATGTTTAATCACCTTAAGGTTTTTAATTTTTAATTTTTTTTTATTTTAGACGTCCTGTTCAAATTTCAA